GCTCAATGTCAGCGGAACGGTCCAACTCACTGCTGGCAAGACTGTTTATATTCCAACGCCGACTTCTGACCCTCAAGGTAGGAAAGAATAGATCTAAACACATTCCCGAGAAAACTGGACACTAAGCAGCTACATGTTAGACCCTTTGAACATGAGCCAATGGCAGAAAGGAATGGTAATCGTGATCATCTCGCTTTGTAGGTTCCAACTATTCTTGAAAGCAAGATTGAAGTGTCTAATTGAATTCTTGTGGTTTAGTTTCTACAATCGGCCTGTCCCTTGTTTCAGGCTTCGGCGGCCTGCTTGGCTTTTATATTCCCGATTACAGCGCAGTGGGAAAGACTTATGCAGACATCACCAGTCTCTTGACTTATCCCACTCTCACAATGTGCGTGACGGCGTTGGAAAAACTCAGCTTCACTAACTAACAAACCATTGTAGGGGATTGGGAAACCTGATTGGAATGCCGTTGGCCATTGCGGTCGGCCGACGCTCCGTGTTACTTGCTGCCTCGGTGATCATGCTTGTTAGTGCCTGCATGTGTGCTGTTGCCGACAACTTCGAGTTCCATCGCGGGGCTCGGATGCTTCTGGGCATTGCCGCTGGGCAGAGCGAGGCGCTTGTTCCCATGATAACACAAGTAAGCTGGCAAAGTCCAACACCCTTCACATCGAATACGATTCTGACCATCACAATAGGAGATATGCTTCCTTCACGAACGGGCCAACTTTCTTATGATCCAACAAGCCGTCCAAACGATTGCTACAGCTGTACTGGTTCTATTTGCAAGCCCGATCGCTGGTGCAATCACACCTACGTGGTGGTATGGCCTTGGGGCATGTCTTTCTGGGTTGGTGTTGATATTGGGCATTGCATTCGTCCCAGAGACGAAGTACTACCGTCCAGCATCTTCCTACCAGGAATCCTCCGGACTAGGAGAAGATGAAGATAATAAGAGTTCAGAAATAAGTGACGGGAAGTACTTTGATATCTGCACTGAAAGACCAGCTATCGATACTGTGGGTTTTGAGCCTCGAACTTGGCGATCCAACCTCCGCCTCTGGGTTGGGAAACCCGAGTGGCGCAAGGGATTCGATACATTGGTGGTGGGTATTCTTTCTGATATCTCTTGATCTTCATCATTGAAAGCAACACTGACACGTACTGCAGCAATCCTTCGGGCTCCTCCTCTTTCCCAACGTACTCTGGGCCCTTGGCTTGAATGGCCTCACACTAGGCGTTAACGTTGCCATTGGAACAACATACGGAACGATTGTTACTTCTCCTCCCTACAACTGGCCACAGTCATCGGCAAGTTATGTTAATTGCGGAACAATCATTACCTCTCTCATTGCCCTTCCAGTATTCGGGGCGGGCTCAGATAAACTCATCAAGCGGTTCGCCAAGAAGCGCAATGGTATCCATGAGCCAGAGGTTCGCATCTTGCCGCTCATCTTCCCCATCATTGTGGGTGTCTTTACTGCTGTCCTATACGGACAAGGAGCTTCAAAGCCCCATCATTACCACTGGTTCACATACGTCTGGGCCGTGGCGGGTTACTATTTCACTTTCATAGGGGCCAATATTGTCGCCATTACGTACCTCTTGGACAGTTACCCCCAAAGAGCCAGCCCTTTGTTGATTATCATCTGCGCCTTCCGTGGAATAATCTCATTTGGTGTGAGTTACGGAATCACTCCTTTCATTGAAAGCCAGGGATATGAGGGCGCATTTGGCATTTTTGCTGCTCTGACAGGGGTTTTTGGTTTGCTTGGTATTCCAGTCTACTTTTGGGGCAAGAAGATTCGCCATTTCACTGGCCAGTACGCTATTGACAAGGACAAGTCAGCTTAGGGTGTTCCATGCACAATATACACCAAATTAACAGTACTTTGTTTAAGAAATGTGGCGCCATACACTGACGGGCTAAACATGATGGCAATGTTCGCTGTTCTTTTGGTACTGAAGGAAAGAATATGATATTTACCCATGCTACTCTATGGACATAAGGTTCTGGAAACGAAAGAAACAGTACAACTAATTGCATATAATGACCAAAGCTTTCCAAACTTTCTACTTCTTATTCTGCATGAACTTGATCACGGCAGCCCGAGCAGTGAGAGCTTCCGGGACAACGGGGTCCCAAACGAACCCATGCCACATCCCCTCTGACACCAGCAACTCTGTTTCAACACCAGCCTCCCTTAGCTTCCAGTACATCCGGATACCATTGCTAAGAGCAAAGTCGCGAGTTCCGACCGTTATGACAGTTCGTGGGAACCATGTATCATAAGAAGCATAAATTGGCGATACCAAAGGGTCCTGTAAATCCACGCCCTCCTCAAAATAATTCTGTGCCACCATGCTGTATAGGAGGCTGTACGGCATGATGTCCCGATCGCGGGCATTGAAAACTGTAGAGTCACCAGCGCCGCTCAAGTCAACAGCTGGTGTGCACAAATACGCTCCGGCGCTCGGTATCGGTAGGCCCTCTTTACGGGCCAAGAGGAACATGGACAGCAAGAGCTGTGCACCAGATGAGCTTCCCATCGTGTAGATATCAGCTGGGTCAATTGGCAAACCGCCCGGCGGGCCCTCCTTAACGAGGGCGCGATACACAGAAAAGCATTGATCTCGAGCCACGGGATATTTTGCTTCCGGAGACCTGGTGTAATTTACCGAGTAGACACGGATGCCAAGTTCCGCCGCCATGGTGAGGGCAGCACGATCTCGAGGGCTGCCCATGATGAATGCACCCCCAAAGATGTTGAATAGAATCTTGCTCTCTTTTTCGGGATGAATGACGGGTGGTTCAATGACCACCACTGGGACATTGGCAATAGTGATTTCCTTGAGCTGGAGCCCATGCTTGGCGATCAAGTCTGCTTCTCCAGGTGCCATTTTCGCTTCCACGCCTTGGCGAAGACTTGGAACGCGGCTTGGCATGGTGAGAAAGTTTGAAAGAAGGCCTGCAAAGGGTAGATGGTGAACGTTCTCGAGAAACTTGATTGCATTGGGACTCAGAGTAGCCTTCTGGCCTTCGGTGAGAGAAACCATGGTGAACGGTGCCTTTTGGGTTTAAAAGAAAATAGAAGTTTCGTGGAAATTGAAAGAGAGTGTCGTTTCAACTCTATTTTCTTACTTTGTTTTTATTGAAATGACCTTGATGATATGATTTGAGGATGTTAGATGGAATGCTGTTGCCCTTATATGTGTAATAACGCTGGGGACTGGAGATATGGAAGTGTCATTCGGAAATACATTATTTAGGCAGCCATATACTAGGATTTTTGTATACGAGCGTCACAGAATTCTCCTAGTCCCAGAGAGTTCCTTACAGAACCATGAATAATTGGCCTGTGATCTACAACTTGAATATCGTCCGCTCGCACATGGTATCAATAACTCCGAGAGATTGTGAAGGTTCGTAGCTTGCAACCAAATCCGGATTAGTTCGGACAATGAAACCAAAATAAGATTAGTTCGGGCAATGGATCTCAATTGAGCATGAGTGAGAAATCCTCTTAGGTGAATCCTAATGCTGTCAATCTTTTTTATTTGAAGCTCTTCAGTGTAAATATAGCTTTAAATAGAGACTTAAGTAGAATACTTTTAATATTAAATGGAGCCTAGCCTCTCGGAGCTGCCAGACCCCCCCGAGAACAAAGAAACATCAACGAACGAAGCACGCTCTTGACGATGAATGACACGAGCCCCGTGGTCCAGCCGAACATACCGCTCCCCCGTCCGAAGGATCGACTGCAAAAGCTATGTTAGACGAAGTTTATCGTCCATTTATCCATCCAGCGCAACAACAATGACTTTATACTAGGCAACATCTTAGATCACAATGGCGCTATAGCTAGCTTCCTGGGGGGCTACTTCCTATAAAATTGTCGAAGGGTTTCTTTTAGATCATTGTGGAACAAACCCCGACATTTTGCCCGGCGCAGTCCCGGCTATGCTATCTAGGATAGTCAAGTATCACCAGCAGATGGCTACATATGCTCGTCCTCAGTTGGAAGGCCGTCTATTTCTAGCACACACACACGCAATTCGGAAGAGGACTGTGCAGATTGTAGTCCCTCTGCAGCCGTAGGTCGGGACCCTCGGCAAATTCATCTGCTCGTAATTTAGTATAGTAGGATCGCTTCTGGGAAAGCATTAAAGAGGCATAAGATGCGGCACTGGAACGCAGCTGTCCAAGGACCTTGATATGATGTATTTCGAAACGGAAGTGGCAGGAGTCACAGATATGTTTGTTTCTCTGTCTCGTCACCTGCGGAATCTGTGACTAGGTATGCGATTAGTTTGGTCAGTCAGCGTTTAAATTTATATTTTTGGGAAAGAATTTGCATCGCACTATAATTGAATGCGAGAAGACCAAAGCCTGATGACTGAGTATTCAAAGAAGTCCTACAATCCGTGGGCTACTTTCGAAAATCAGTGTTATTTTTTTATAGACTTATTGATAGATTATCAATTATGAATATATCTATTGCCCTTGGCGATATTTTTGGGTTGGGATGGCAAGGAAATGAAACCCCAAGATGTGTATAATGCAAGCTCTTTTGGCCCATTTCCTCTTGGGTGAGGTATATCCAAGAATCTCACTTCCGTTGATTTGACTCCGCGTAAACCCCATCTTCATAACTTTATCAGATTTAATAGATAATTAAGTCACCTGGCAAGCGAGGAACCAAGCCACGGCGACACTCACCACCTCAAGGTGCATTTTTATACATATGCACGTCAGCTGATATGCGCTGCGCCTCTGCTTGTTTTGGTAGCTAATTGGATGAGGGACCCAGCTGAAAAATGTCACTGTCTGGGCGCTTTTACTAAGCCTCATATTAGCTAAAAGCCTGACTCTGCCTCGGGCAGCAGCCGCTAAATGAGCCAATATGTTTCTTTTTCCTTTTGCCATCGCCCATCGCCCATCTTCCTCCTGGGTGGCCTTCAACACCACGATCCGTTACATGTAGCTAAACGCTACTGCCATGGCACGACCGGAGACACCCGAGGCCGCTGAGGCCCATATCAAAGCAATCAGAAAATCAAAGGGATTTGATGTTGAGCCAGGTCTTGCAGGGAGCATTATCGATGACCTCGACAAATCTCTTTCCATGTAGCTCGCCTCTTTCCTTTCTTCTCCCCTTTCCTCTTCCGGATACGCTACACTGCATTTTGATAACGGTCTCTTACCCAAACGTGGCATAGTATATCCGAGGGGCTCTATCAGAAATCAAGCCGTTTCCTGATGGAGATATTGCAAAACGCCGACGACTGCTCCTACGATGACCCGACTCCAACCATGGAACTCACCTACCGGAATGGTCGCCTCCGTATTGACTACAACGAAGTTGGCTTCACGAGGCGCGATGTGGAGGCGCTATGTAGCATTTCGAGCACAAAATTGAAATCCATGAACCAAACCGGCGAAAAGGGGATCGGCTTCAAATCCGTTTTCAAGATGTCTGACCAGGCACAGGTGCTCTCTGGTCATTACTCGTTTGCGTTTGACGCGAAGCGGACGTTGGGCACAATAACCCCCGAGTGGGTAGTCAATGCTGCTAAAGCGCGGCCTGGCTTCACCTCGATTATACTACAGATAGAAGGAGAACGTAAGCAAAACGAACTAATCCAAGAGTTAAAGTCCATGGGACATAAGCACCTGGTCTTTCTGAGGAGACTGCAGCAAATCAATATCGCGATTGATGATAACCAGGGCAAAACCTGGGAAACTACGCTTAATCGAGAAGACAAAGACTCTGCTGAAGGACAACGCCGTATTGTCACATCAAGTCACGATAGCCAGACTCTGGAGTACTGGATCTATCCGCACATTGTAAAGACAATGCCTCCAGAGCCAAAGCGCGAAAATCACACCGAATCTGTAATTCTGCTGGCTTTTCCAGTCAGAGGGGAGGCCAGCCCTGAACCCGTAGTTGAGCAGCAAGACACTTATGCCGTTCATCCTATAAGGGACTACGGATTCAAGGTTAGCCTAAACACTCCATGGCAAGAATGGGCTGCATGCTAATTTGAACGTAGTTCTTAGTCAATGCCGATTTCTTACTCGTTGCTAGTCGCCAGGATGTAGATGCCTCATCTAGGTGGAATGAGACACTTCGAACCTCCATTATGGATGCGTTTCAGGAAGCATTAAAGCATCTGAGTGTCGGGCCTTTGCGGTACACTTGGCCACGATACATGCCTATCCCACTTAAGCTTTCTGGCTTCTTTTGGACCTTTGGCTATGATATGAAGTATAAGCTTCGGGAAAGCCCCATTGTTGAGACCGCCAAAGGGGAGATGGTTACGCCGCTGCTGGCGCGTTACGTGCCACCCCCGCTGCGAGATCAGGACAATACACCACTGACGCTTGGTCCATTAACTGAGTCAAAGTACTTGTCGAAACATTATAGCGATTCGGACTGGAAGTTTCTCCAATCTCTCCATGTCCAAAAGCTACCAGATGAGGACTTCTTGGACGATCTTCACCAACTCCTCTCACACGGCAACTGCGCCGCCGAGAAACCGGAGCTGTGGCATGTGCAGATCGCGAAAGTCTTGATAGGCTTTCATCAATATAAAAACAAGATCAAAAAGCTACCCTTGATCCCGGTAAATGGTGGGGGGTGGGTATCAGCTTCGACGGGCAATGTATTCTTCCGCAACGGCAAGGAGCATACTGCCCTCGGTGATCTTGGGGTATCCTTTGTTGATCAAGACGCGGCACAGAATGAAGATCGGAAGGCCCTCTTCGAGATGCTTGAAATCGCCGAATTGTCCGATTCAAAACTTCAAAGCCTGATCCTAAAGAAACACGCCGGGACTGAGTGCTCACTGCTGCCCGCCGCACACGTCTTGGTGTCGCACGCTGTATTTCTTTTCCGTTCGAGATGGCAGTCCGACCCCTATTCGAGAACACGTACCTCCTTCTGGGTTGTACCTACGACGGGGGATTGCCTGCAGGCCCACCAAGTCTATCTCAAGGGTGAGTGGGATTACTACGCCCACCCGTGCTTTACCGAGTTCCGGCGAGAGTTCCCCTTTTTGCATCGGGACTATGATTCAGCTGTAGAACCGGAAGAAACGAGAAATTGGATTAGTTGGCTTTGCAAGCAATTGGGAGTTCAGAGCGTCTCAAAAATGACGCCAACGCTTCAGAAGCTGGTTGTCAAGAAACACTCCAAAGCCGGCCCTACAGATCTACCTGCTCAAGACCTCATAATATCACACGCAAAATTCCTCTTTCAGACGGGGTGGATTTCAGAAGATACACCTCCAAAATTTTATGTGGTGACTGAAGTAGGGGCATATGTCCAAGCAAAGGATGTGTATCTTGATACATCTACACAACAGTCCTTTGGTAAATACTTTGACGATTTTCGGCAGAGATGCCAATTCTTGCATAAACAATATTACGGTGCAGTGAAGAAGGAAGAGAAGGAGCGTTGGCTTAAATGGCTCCACGAGAATATAGGAGTGCAAGATACCTCTAGACTTGTTCCGAAGCTCGCAGAATTAACCTACGGGGAATGCTCAGAATCCAACCAGGCACAGCTACCTGCTCGCGATGTCTTGATATCGCATACAGTCTTCTTGTTCCGCGCGAAGTGGGTGAAGCCCGAGTCACACGGGGATAAGTTTTGGGTTTTCACTGAAGGCGGGCAGCATGTGCCAGCCCAGCAGGTCTACCTCGATACCGCGCAGCAGTCTTCCACCAGAGAATGGTATAGACGGTTCCGCAAAGAACACCGCTTTTTGCATGTGGACTATTATCATGCAGTGAAACCAGAAGAAGCAAATAGTTGGCTTATTTGGCTTCGTGGGCAACTCGGCTTATGGGAGGTGCCCCGGCTCGTTGATGCCTCAGATCCAGCCATGCTCTCATCAGATTTTCGGCAGATACTAAACTCTTGGCAGTCAAAGGAGTTTCTTATGCTCCTTAAAGACGAATGGGACAGCTACGAGCGCTTTTTTAAAGACCAAATTGTTGGTTCCGATCAAAATGGGACTGATAACGTGTTGGGATATCCACACAGCACCGCTTTGCGCGATCAGATAGGGTCAGCGAAGGTCAACTGCCGTGGTGGACTCACCTATCCCCTCCAAGATACTTTCACCATCGACTTTCTTCCGGATGGTACGGATGCGGCAATTCTGTCTTTGCACCCGCTGATCGAGATTCCAGAATCCCAGAGCGCAGATTGGACGTTTCTGAAACAATTTGGCGTGACTATGAAGGAAAGTGTCGCCATGTATCTCAAGACACTGGACAAAGTCCGGGGCTCAACGGTATCTCTGAAGTTCATCTCCTGGTTGTATGGCCAAATTCAAGAGAGGGACGGTAAGGAGCCAGGTGATTTGACGTATGTAATATGATCGGCACCATTCACAGGTTGACTGACAAAGCGTAGGACGCTCTCTTCGAAAGAATCCATCTACATTCCTGGCACCTCCCAAGGCACCGTAGGGCATTGGGTACCGCAGTCCGAGTGTGTCTGGGAAGGAGGAAAGTTCCTTCGTAGGTTCCATATGCTCAAGAGGATATATCCTAAATGCGAGCTGCTCTTCAAGAAGATCCTCACACACAAAGACATAGACATTGAAGTCCTTGTGTCCGAAGCCGAAGCAATCACAACAGATTATCCTTTGAAACTCATCATCAAGCTCTTTAGTGAGATTAGAGGGCACACTCCTCGAATAGATGACAGTTTGACCCATCGTCTACGTACTGCCAATATATTTCCGATTGACGAGGGGAACACAGAGACAAGGTTTGACAGTCTTGATTCTGGAATGGATGGCTCAGAGTGGTACATTGCCGATCGCCCTCACCTTCGCGACAGTTTTCGAGGTGTCGTGGCGTTGCTGTCATTCCCTCCGCGGGATACTCTCAGAATGATGCCTCTAATCAAGGCGTTAGGTTTGGAATTCAGGCTACTTTCTAAACTCACTACATCAAAACTGATCACAGAGGGAGATGTCCAGCTGCACGAAGAGCATACAAAGGTATTTCGCGCAAAGTCAAAGTTTATCGCCCGGTGAGTTTGACAAGAGACGAGGATCTACTCTCTCGCATACCCATATGCTTGTCTTCCTGCCTAATTCAGAACATCCATCTTAACAAGAACACAAGCTACCAAGCTCCATCTTAAACCAAACTGACCATTACTGAATTAGAATGCTACCGAGATCTATGTCGAGCAGGGGTGACGTATTAACCGCGTTGGACAGCCTGGACGTATTCGTTGCGGAAAAGGTATTACTCCAGTGGACTTTTAAGCCTGCGGCAGGTCGCGGTGCAAGCCACGTCACCGAGAGCCGTCACTATGATGATGGGATCCAAGCTGCAGTACTACCACCAAAGGGGGGAAACGGAATCCAGGTGTACTTGGAGGCGGGCAGCAGTTCCCACCTACCACTGGAATTCACACGCCGCTTCGCTGATATCTGCGGCATCGAGGATCAAGCAAATCTCGTATATTTCGTCTTCAGCCAGAGCGACCTTTCCTACGTTGAACAATGCATGGATCGGCAAGGCGTCCTAGCTATTGACGACACAGACGACTCTGACTTTGACGCTCCCGAAGCAGAAACTGATCTCGAAATCGGAGAGAACAAGTCGGAAGACAACGCTGGTAAGGATCCGGGAGAAGAAGCGAATGATGAGCTCACCGAGAAGGCAAAAGCCGTCGCGGATGGTACAGGGGCGAGTGACACTCGAAAGACACCCGGCCACCGTCTTGAAACCGCCCAGCTGGCGCAGAATGGAGTTGACCTTCGCAGTGGAAGTGCAAATACCCATGCATATCACCTGCCTGATATGCGGTCAGCCCCATCACGTCCCGACTACAGTGTGCTCAGCAGTCATCTTGAAGCTCCACCGGTGACAGGTGCAACTTCCAGCCGATCAAAGCCGGCATCTAGCGCAAAAGCTGCAACCAGTTATCCATCTTTTACAGTGCTTGGGCGTCCTCGAATAATCGGCGCGCCCGCTGTAGTGTTTGTGCCGAGTCAGGAGGACCTACCACTTGAAAACTTCTCACAGAGCGTGTCTGGTCGGAACATTTTACCTGCGAGAGCACAAATCTCTCACTCGGGGAGCTGCACTGTCGTCATTGCAACAAACCCGGATACGCGAAGCGACCCCGACGTGGCATTCGTTGGGGAACTGTTTGTATGGTCCCCTTGAAGCTATCGCTCGATCTTCATACCCCTAATCACTAATCTTTCTACAGGTCTCGAAACTGCTTGAGCAGCATCTTGGACGGGAATATGACCCCAATTACGATTGGACAAGTCCCTTGCGCAATAGGGCAGGCTACAAGAAGTTCAAACCGTCGACCGATCCAGTGCCTTCATTCACGCTCAAGGACTTTCCTGCCATGACGGACTTCCTCTTCCAGGCATCTGTCCGAGAGGCGAAAAAGTGGAAGGAATCGAACCCAGTTTACTACATCCAAGTACAGACTACGGTGGGCGAACAAGAATCGCCCTTCATTATGAGCGCGGCTACTCTTAAAAGGGTGAGTTTCTTTCTACATCCAGCATGTCAAATTCATTGACGCCGTCTCTGACCCAATAGGCCCGAGAGTGTATGATACCGGAACGATCTGCAAGGCCACCCAAAGAAGTCTTTATCCTCGCTCGGGTTTCTGATCTATTCAAGTGCGCCCACGCCTGTTTCTACATTGACCCGTGGAAAATGTATGCCTCTGGTCAAATGAAAGTACAACCCGAAATGGATTCTTATGTAACTGAGATCCAGCGGCCTGAGCCTCAGATCAAATTGAGTGATTTCGGGGACATCAAGGTGCCGGAGTTCCTATATCAACCAAAGCATGAAAGCTCAAAGTTGCCGTTCAGCAGGTCCCGGTTAATGTTGGGCGGCAGTGCCAGTAGAACAAAAGTTCCGTACTATGAGAAGTATGTGTACCGGTCATTGAGAGGCCGCAAGATACGATTGCTAGAGCTCAAGCCAGGCGGTGAGCTCGACGAGTTGGAGGGAAGTCTACATAATTTCGCTTTGGACACTACCATTCCGTCCTTCCAGGCGTTGTCCTACGCATGGGGTTACTCCATCAAGCCTTTTGTTTTGAAAATTCGAGGAAGGGTTATAGGTATCACAGCTTCCCTCTATTTTGCGCTCAAGCGTCTCCGACATCCGAGGAAACCGATACAACTCTGGGCAGATGGAGTTTGCATAGACCAAAGCGAGGAGAAAGATAGAGGAAGGGAGAAGAGTGCACAAATACGGCTCATGCCGGATATATACAAAAGCGCTACTCAGGTGATTGTCTGGGTTGGAGAGGAAACGAACGAAGATAGCCATGTCTTTGAATCCTTTCGCAAACTGATCAGTGTGCAAGCTCAAGATTCCGGCGCAGCAACTATCGCAGAGGACAGCGCAACATGGGACTCGATCAATAAGTTCTTCGGGCGTCCTTGGTTCCAGAGAGTTTGGATAATTCAGGAATTTGTTTTTGCGTCACGTGTCATTGTAATGGCTGGTAAAGAATCGGCGCGGTGGGATGATATTAACGCTGTGGCAAAAATCTGTTTCACAGAGGCACAGAGGTCTACCACGAACGCAATGAAACAGATAGCCCAAAACGCGTCAGTCATCCTACGTCTCGGGGAAGTCAGGCGGAGCTATCATAAGGGAGAGGAGAGCAACCGACCTCGGCTTCTCACCCTTTTTCAAGAGTTTCAGTATGCCAAGGCGACGCGAGCGCGAGACAAGCTGTTTGCGCTCCTCGGGCTGGCCTCCGATGCCGCCGAGAAAGACTTCGATCCCGATTATAGTGAGGCCCTCGAAACAGTGGTCCGAAAGTACGCCAGGGTCTTCGTGGAGCGGGGATGCGCCTTAGAGATGTTGTATCGGGCGGGTTTCTCCTCACCTCGCTTCCCATCATGGATCCCGGACTGGATCACAAATACGCCCCGGCGAACTATAACCACCTGGCCGAGTAGGCAGCAAGGGTTTTCAGCCTGCACTCACCTTCGAAGCCAAATAAGATTATTGTCACGCAGCGACGACAAGGTCTTATTTGCCAAGGGCCACATCCTCGACACGGTTGATGAGGTGGGCAAGAAGTCCTTCCAAACCTGTGACCGCATCGAGTACTTGCAGGAGTTGTCGAGCTTCGTTCAATCACGGAAGTCTTATCCCACTGGGGAAAAAATCGAAGATCTCTTATGGAAGATCCCCATTGGCGACTCTATCGAACCCACCTCTCCAGATGGCGACAGGGTTAACTTCCGCGTGGCGTACCAAGCTTTTACGGAGTACCTGCAGCTCGGGGAGCAGGGAAAGGACTGGAAGATGGAGATCATGCAAGCCCGTGCTATGGCCAAGATCAAGAACTTTCTCTTTCACCCCCAGGAACTCAGACAGTCGTTGTGGCCTTATCTCCAAACTGCGCTGGAATTTGCAGAAAGATTCGCAGACGCAAAAGCTTGCACAACAAAAAAGGGATACGTAGGCATTCTACCAGGGAAAGCGATGAAGGGTGACAGGGTTGTGATTCTACATGGGAGTGCCGTGCCGTTCCTCGTCAGGGAGAGCCTTGATCATTCAGGTTATTACATTCATCTGGGAGAGTGCTACATTCATGGTATAATGCATGGAACACGATCTTCCACTTCGACCCTCAGCGTGGAAGATATAAGGATTTATTGATGTTACTATCTGGAACTGGGTATAACCTAGCACTACTCGGGTTAAAATCCTGAAGCCCGGGCTAAGGATAACCAAGAGCCCATCTTGCTTATCTCTGCATCTCCGGCCAAAGAGTCTCGGTAGCTGCCATCAAATGGCAGCCATCAATGATTCTAAGGCAATCGATCATAGTGTTGTTACTGACTTCCAGGCGAGAAGGGTAGTAGACGGTAAAATCTTGTTCGTGTTACTTTAACATGGGAAGAAATACGCTACCAGAACGCCATAGGCGTCTGAGAGTCGTTCGCGTGAAAGCGGAGAGGCGACTTAACGGTAAGAGAGACATGGCACAACTCAAAGAAGGTCATGGAGACTACGCAAGCTAAACCGATATAAGACACGTTCACCCCCGCATTGCCGAGCTTCCTTTCAAGACAAACATAATCACCAACCGCATCACTTCCGTGCTTGTCGAGCTTAGCAAGGGAAGCCAGGCATCGTATCACAAGGATCTCTTGATGAAGATTTCCCTTATGGATGAAAGGGTGCCTACGAGATGCCTGAAGAACTCAGCAACTTAATGAATAGAGCTACATGAACCTTGATAGAATTAAGAAGTATAAGAATGCGCATGAGATCTAAATGTGCCGATAAATGACCGTGGATTCCGCGGAAGCCGAAATGCTGTGACGATTTAGCAGCGAAGCTTTACAGTAACGTAATCTAGCCCCCGCACCACACATTCAATAGGATAAATCAGCAACAATACGTATTCTAGGGGGCAAAGAAGTCGATTTGGGACGGTCTAATGCATATATGGGCAGTATGTTCAAACGACCTGCATCTAATGCACCGTGGTCATGCACGCTGCCTTGGAGCACTTCACTCTTCAATCTGCTACGGGTTAGGTCTGTCGAGAATTTTTGACCCAGGGAGGGGGTAGATTACATTAGCGCTACACAAGCCTTTGGCAAGATTTATCAGCTCTCGGACTCGGGTTGATATTGCTTCCCGTGATTGAGTGCGTGGTTCCGATAGCTTTATGGAACATATGCCGACCGTAACCCGCTTTCCGCGTGTATAAATACTATCACCTCCGTTGCTGGTGAAAGTTGTATCGTCGTCTGCGTACTGTGCATCCTAAATCACGTTCTCTATCCAATATTCTCCACAGCTAGCTCCTCTATTCTACGATCATCTTACATCTCTAATAATTCGATATGGGCCGACAAACAGTGGAGAGCTTTTCTGGAAAGTCCATTCTCATTGTGGGTGGAACCTCTGGTGTTGGTTTTGCGATCGCTGAGGCATGTGTCGACTTGGGCGCGAGAGTAGTGGTTGCGAGTCGGTCACAAGACAAAGTCAACACGGCTGTGGAAAGACTCAAGCGATCGTATGAGAATGCGACTGATAGAATCCAAGGATACGTGTGTGACCTGGCTCGCGGAGAAGTCGAGGCAGAACTGACCAAGCTCTTCAACGATATAACCGACAAAGGATCGAACCCCCTTGATCATGTTGTCAGCACTGCTGGAAGCCACCCAAACGCCATGACATTGGGTGAGGCCACATTAGAGAATCTGGTCAGCGCCAGTAGACATCTTTTTATTGGGGATGTACTACTAGCTAAATTAGCATCGAAGTATCTCAGACCTGCAGACAATTCCTCCTTCACAATGACTGGCGGAGCTGGCACACAGAAGCCACCACATGGCTGGAGTCTTTGGGCTGGCATAGGAGGAGCAAAAGATTCCTTGACACGAGGCCTAGCTATCAGTATGAAGCCTATCCGGGTGAACCTTATCTCGCTGGGAGCGATTCAGACGGAATTATTTGACGAAGCTGCAGAAAGGTGGGGGTCAAAAGACTTTGGAGGAGGCTGCGAAGACTGCATCATTGTTAGGAACTATTGGAAAGCCCGAAGACGTCGCTGAGACCTATTTGGCGATTATGAAGAACAAATTTGTGACGGGGACTATCAGTATGGTTGAAGGGGGTGCCTTACTGAATTAATTAGTCTTACAATACGTTCACTCTGGATGGAGTTCAGCTACACAGATGAGCCTCAAGCAAGTGTGCTTCGCATATCTGAAGAAGCTGTTTAAATCACTGATATTTTGATCGAAACAGTTATTGGCTTCCCTGCGGCTTAAAACCTGGCAGTCGGATTACGGAACATTCCGGTATCGCTCTTTCAGGATCAGAAAACAATTCGCTGTTCTATAGCTCTGTGTAGCCTAGATATTAGAGTTTACTTATGCAAAGTCTATGGCTATTTATTAGCATCCCCGCGATCTGTCAGCTCGTAATGCATGGCCGCCGGACTAGAACCTTCTGTTGAAAAGAATGCTTGATCCTGTGGCTCTTCATGGCACTATGATGCGTCGCGCCGTGCGTACAGGACAACAGTCCACATATACAATCTTTAATATGGCTGCTAGCATCTTGGGCATGGAGGAAATTTACTTACTACTTCTACGTGTAATGGATTAAGAGAGAGAGATATTAAATATAGCCTTGGCGTGAAATAACTACTCTATTGCAACATTGTCTAAAGAGAACTAAGGCTTTAGGCTGCTTCTTTATTAACATAATGAAAATATAACATACTTGTGATTGTAAATTTTCGTATTTAGAGGTTCCCTGTGGGATCAGCAAGTGGAAAAGGTTTTTCGAACAGACTTTTCAATTAGAAGAAGAAGTGTATTAACATGAAGACCCCTTCTCCCACAATCCTAGCCCGAACGCAACATACACTGTTCATCCAAAGCGTGGAGCCCGGCCCGCAACCAGCCATCAACAAATCCTGATTCATTCATACAACATGACCTGGCCCTGTAGATTCGCGGCTTCCAGTACGGCGCAAAACGTTCCCTTGCTGGCGTTGCAGGAAGGTGATCTTAAGATTAACGCCCTTGATAGCCTTCATCGTTCTTTTTATTTCCCTGAAAGACTTTGTCCATTGATACAAAAGCCAAGCGAGGAATACCGCAAGGACACCGGTCCACGCAAACCACCAAGTGTCACGAGACACGTAGAGCTTTCGTTCAGGAGTCAATCCGACAAAATTCATGCCCCAGAAGCCCTACAATCCCGTGGCTGATTAGTCCTTGAGAGCTGGAGTATTTGGAATGCCATCGCCTAAGCTTTCTTCCTTACCACAACGAATGTTAAAGGGAGGAAGACGAGGGATAAAGAAGTCACAAACTTTGTGAGTTCTTTTGATTCATCTCTAGTCTCGCTCAGTTGATACACGCTGACAATATTATATGCCTATCACATCGTAAGCCAAATCACGAATGCTCTGCAAATGTATTGAAATAATCACCATCTTAATTTCGTTCTCGATCCGGTCGACAAATGCATCCGATCTCAGCTTTAATGCTGCAATAAATGAAGCAGAAAATCGGATACCATCGATCACGTTTCTGGCATCATTTTTCTCAGTGTCCTCGACTAGTCCTAGTCGTTGGAGTTGGCCTTCAACAATCTCCAAAGCTAATTTGACAGAAAGGGCTGCCACTTGGACGGTTTCGCTCATGTGAATGGCATGGCGGGAAAGTTCGTGCATCTTGTGGTACTCTTGGACGATTGTTGTGTTTGCGCCCTTGGTTGACTTGAGTGACACTACTGTGTTCATAAACTTTTCTCGTTGCTGTTTCAATACTTAGCGCTCAAATGATCTTTTATAATTAAGTCAAGGGATGAAGGGTTTTGGGTCAAAGAATATCTACCTTCTCGATTTTTCTCACTGGCTTTCGGAACTTCCAGATACCCTCATCGTATTGCCAAATAAACAATCGTAGGAAGGCATCGTATATAGCAAAAGGATTCGACTGGACGTATCGGAGAGGATATCTTTCTAGTGCTTCCTCAATCTTGTGTTGGAGAATTCCGCAATCATCGTAACAAGCAACGACACAGGTCACTTTACCTGCCTTTTTGAGCCACAGTACGCTGAATGATAAGAATAGCCATTTATAAGGGGCTTTGTGTTCCTCTGCGGTTTCGTTGTCTTCTTTTTCCGGCTCAAGGAACTTGATGAGAAAGCGTGCTGCGTAGCCTATCGTAGGGATTAGTATAAACTTGTTGGTTCCAGGGAATAAATGACACTCACTATGACCTTTCAAGGCGTTGTCGCTCCCGGCAATGATTCTCTTATGAACAAAAAAGCCATTCGAGTCCCATGCCTTCTCCGTCAAGAAGAACGGTTCTAAATGAAGGGCGCCAGTGAGCTTTTCGCAAATTTGCTGGTCCTCAACAAGACCTGGACCGGGATGATCCTCATCCTTCTTGATGGTAGGGAGAAAGCTGTTATTCTTGAGTGTTAGGGCAGGATGCCGTTCCTTTGAATTCGTTTGGCACGGGGCACATACTATAAATGAAGCTTATTTTCCTATTATGAAGTCGCCCGTTAGGCACATTAGCTCATGCCCTTTTGGAGTATTACAGTTACAGGGGGTGGTGCTACCTGTCGCTTGGTGACAAAGTCCTCTTGTGTGAGGGTTTTCATCTGTTTCTTTTCGGGATCTATGCTCGTGCCTTCGTCAATCCTACTCACATCATTCTCGAGTTAGCTCACAATCACCAAAAAGGAGTACAACTCACTGAAACAGCCTATATCCAATGTAACGTCCGTCTTGTGAAGTCGGACTGGTTGACCCTGACCTGGCAGGCGTTGGTTCTATACTTGTGAGAGCGATGTTGGACCCATCGTCTTTTGTTTCAGTAGGGGGCGAATCATGACTCATTTTGTGCTTTGACTTGTGTACTTTGATGGCCTTGTGCCAGGAATGATGTCAACAAAGGATGGTAATTTTCCACTTGCCCCTCCCGGGCGGGGGTGGCCTTCTTAAGGCAGAGAACAAAGGCTCTCAGCCTTATTGCAGTGATACTGCCAATGAGATTACTGAAACCTGCATGTTTGGGTATGAGTGCAGATGCCTCGGCCTAACCCCATCTGTGTCAGATGTCGCCCTCCCTTACAGAGGCCCTTAGACAAATAAAAATTATGTAAGCAGACAAGGCTTTTTCCGGGGTTTTGTATATAAAGAGTCACAAGAGTGGCTCATGACATATTCAGATGCACAGTTTGGGTCATCAACTTAGTTCCATCATAATAGCCAAGATGCCTCCCCCGATGCAAGCAAACCCCAAGGATCACGCCATGGGCGATTCTCTGAAACGTTATGTCAAACAAAAACTCCCACCGGATATCTTGAAGGAGACGCTCGAGACGATCACAGTGATGCCCGTATCGCAATGCCGAGATCCACCACAAAGCAACCTTGCAATCGAGCAGCTTGATTCCCGGCGCCCTCAAGGATCTTTTTCTGCACCACGAGATTTCCATTTAGCTTGCTTCCCAAGCGAAAACCTAGTCTTTCATTACGCGAGTCTAGCAGCGACTTACCGTTCCATTTCCGGCCAGAATCCTGAGGTTGTGCGGATAACTTTGCAGGAGGAGAGCCATATCAGGCGCGTCCTTTTCGACTCCAATATTCGACATATTGGGAAAATCGACACAGTGATTTTTGGTGATGTCCGGCACTTGCAGAAAATCCATAAAGGCCAATGGGAGGGAGCCGGCACATCCCATCGCGACATTTTTCGATGGAGCAGGAGTGTCAACGCCAGGAATGAAACCGTCGTCCTTCTCGGATGCCTGGAGCAAATATGGGGCGACACGGGATACCATTTACTTCACGTTTTGAAAGAGTTATCGGACATCAAATGTGCCATCTACATTGCCAAGGCGGGCTCCTTACCGTTGGAATTTGAGGCAAATCAATGGATCGCAACCGGCGAAGAGGCGTTCCTACAAGGTGAAATTATCAGATGGACAAGCCCTCTACAAAAGGCAGTCCAGCATGCTAAGGAAGTAGCTCAAGGAGCCATTGTCACGGTGAAAACCCCTCTTTGTGAAACCCGGGAATGGTTCGAGGAGTGGTCGCCAAAAGCGAGCTGGGTAGACTGCGAAGCCGGCTATGTTGCAAAAGCAGCCAAGGAGCATGAGATCAGTTTTGGGTATCTACACATCATTTCTGATAATTTGCAGGTGGTAGGTGGTGAAGACCTATCGAACGAGGACTTAGATTCTGTCGTAAGTAAACGAGGTATACTATATGACAAAATCAGTGACATTCTTGACGCATTCATGTCTCAGTGAAGCCACATACAAGGGCTCTGACAAAGGACAGATTTCAAGAGCACCATAGAGGGGCAACCCCAGAGAAGAAGAGTTTACAAAAAAAAGAATAACGATAGAGAAGCCTAAGGGCTTCATAATACCATCCTCCCGAGCATCAGACAGCGCGTCAAGTTGTGTAACTTTTACGTAGATTCAACGCTAAATCTTCCCAAATATCCACCAGTCCCTCCCTATAGAATATGCCGTAGGATGTGGAAGATAGAGCTTTCACGCGAAAACTGTGATGTATAGCTAATTATGTGCCGTAATTGAGACTTCAATCAATTTATTATGAAAAGCTAGACATCGATATACTTAATATCATTCAAGAGAGTAATTACCTTACCATCGCTCTTAATTTCCTGGTATCAAACGTTCAAAATAACGGACTTGTAAAATGGGTAGACACCCGTGGGGAACTCGGAAGGCCCCGTTGGTGAGTGAGGCCCCGTCCTGGAAAGGAGGGCACACAGAAGAGACGAGGTTGAATGCTGGATCTGATATTGAATGCGTTGGCTTGGATGGCCTCCTCAGCTGAGTAACTTGCTCTCGTAAGAGACGAGTCACAAATGCAGTGGTCAGTCACATGCGCTGATGATTGAAATGTTGGTTGTGTTGGGTGATCAAACCGCCTGGCCGGGCAGTGCACCAGGCGCCTTTCAAGGCGCCTCCAATTCCGGCCATTTGCCCCTTTGCGTTCATTCTCAGATCACTGTTTAGGGCCTCCTAAATGCCCAGTGCCTAATTCAAGAAAGTAGATAAGACGCTGATGCCTAGGATTACCAACGAACCAGTGGATGCAGTGAATCACTTAGAAGCGACAGCGGCGGATGAATCCAATCGTGGATATTGATGCCATCTTTTTAATGAGGAACGCCTGAAGATAGTGTATAGCCCCCACCATTTGCAGGGCCAACAGCTAACATAGCCACCATAATGGGTAATTCAATTCCCTGGCCGGGGGAGTCCAACGATAATGCCATATAATGATAATTAACCTCATGGCTTGCAACCGAACCACGATACAGGTCATCTACTATGTTGGTTAAAAGCACCCTATTCCGAATATTCTTTATCACGATGCATTGGCCCAAAGCATTTCAAATTACCCTGCCCCGGAGCCCTCATAGCTGGCCGCGCAAAGCACGTCGGAACCTACGGGATTTAGCCAAGGGTTAGAGGTAAGCCCTTGGGATTGGCACATGCTGGCCAGCGATGAATACGTACGTCATCGTAGCGGTCAGATATGGGGAGGTAAAGCTTTAAATGAAGAGTCAAGGGGGGTTCTTCTAATAGAGCGATATTTTTACACGTAGAGAGAACAAGGTGGCCCCTTCTTGATGGTACTTCGTAGTTTGGAACCACATCAAGCCTAGTGTCGGTATCCAGCGGCATTACTCCATTTCGTAGCTTGAGCCCATATTGGGCTTAGTAGCGAGCACATACTGTTAACTCCACCTCCTCTCAACTGGATCTGTAGCGTCTTATCACCGTGTAAGACGTGCCTGTGATACAGGCATTTGTTGTTAGTAAAGTTATTCCGCCGACCGAATGTTGTCGAAGTCTGTCTTATATGGCTATCTTTATTTTCTTATAAATGCCACGAGAGCCGAGCCCCCAGCTTGGACAATCCGTCAAATCTGAAAACAATCACCAATACACAGCCCTCAAAGCATTTCAGCTCTTCACCAAAACACTCAAGATTTGGATTCCGCTCTGCGCCATGTCCTCATCTCAACATGGATATGTTGGTGATCTCATCACTGGGCCGCCTCCAACAAGCATGGCCTACAACAGACTCGGCAACTCAGGCTTGAAGGTCTCCAAGGTCATTTTGGGTGCCATGTCCTACGGAAGCAAGGAATGGCAGGAATGGGTCTTAGAAGAGGCCGAAGCTCTTCCTCTCCTCGAGCATGCCTATAACGTAGGTATCAACACCTGGGATACCGTAAGTTGCCACTGTTGACGAAGAGGGTGGTCATTGGAAGCTGACGTCCAAAGTCCGACTTGTATTCGAACGGAGTATCCGAGACGATTATAGGCAAGGCTTTGTTGAAATACAACATTCCAAGAGAAGGCGTGGTAATCATGACCAAATGCCGATTTGCCATTAGCGAGCCAGACCAGCCCCAACTCAGTGTATTCGCTGCAACCGTCAACGATGGCCGGCTGGTCAATCGTTCTGGATTATCTCGAAAGCACATATTCGATGCTGTGCAAGCTAGTATGCGTCGACTTGGCACGTACATCGATGTGTTGCAGATCCAACGCATGGATCGAGACGTGCCTCGAGAGGAAATAATGAGGGCACTGAATGATGTAATCGAAATGGGATGGGTTCGATATATCGGAGCCAGTTCTGTATGTCTCAAGTCCATTTTCAACTTAGGCTCCAGAAGCAAGACTACTGACACCATGTGGCAAAGATGCCTGCTTGGGAGTTCCAAGCGCTCCAGAACGTCGCCAAAGCTCATGGTTGGCACCAGTTTGTTTCCATGCAGAATTACTATAACCTTCTCTATCGAGAAGAAGAGCGAGAAATGATCCCATATTGCAAAGAGACCGGAGTCGGGTTGGTTCCTGTAAGACTTATCCAGGAAATTTCTAGTCATTCATTGTTGCTGACATCTATGACTAGTGGTCCCCGAATGCAAGGGGAGTACTCGCACGTCCTTGGAACGATATCGATTCGAACACGTCTATTCGAAGCCAACACGACAAGACATTATCACGACTTTATAATCGAGACAATATTATAGATAAAGCTATTGTCAGCGTGGTTGAAGAGGTGGCTAAGCAGAAGAACCTTCCAATGGCTGTAATTGCTACGGCTTGGTGCATGAAGAAAGGGGTCAATCCCATTGTTGGACTGAATAGCAAAGAGCGTATTGATGAAGCAGTTCTAGCTTCAAAGGTCGAACTAACTAATGAAGATGTCGCTAAGCTCGAAGAGGCTTATCAGCCAAAGGCAGTAACGGGATATTGATGTTGGCGTTCTTTGTTGCCGCAGGAAGGACCACATCATTGATTCAGAACACCACTTGAGATCGCCCCAAGTTAAATCGAGTTCAAAACATGAAAACAGTTCTTCAATGTTTATCAAGACTTTCCTCAAATGTGATCAATCGGTGTCGAAATCCTCTGTAGCCAGGTTTCCGCCCACTGTAGATATCTCCCAGATAGTTCTAGAATAACAACAGGCAACACGATCCTCATCGTCGTGATACCGCATTGTCCCGCCTCTGAGCAATACTTGATGGACTGGCAAATCTTTTTTGCCAACTTGAGGTTTTGTTCGGGATAGATGGTGTTAGGAACGAGGCGGTTGACCTCTCTGTTGATAAGTATGAGGTACGCATAATATGTCGTGATCATTGTCGCTGAAGGAATATCGTAGTAAATGTAGATGGAGTCAAACAGGCCATCTGACTCTGTAGGGGAGACATTTGAGAGAACTGGCTTCCTCAGGCCATCCTCGCTTCCAATATACTCCTCGTACCAGTCTCTAAAATCTTTGCGCAAAGCCTGCGCCTGGGAGAGAACCAGTAAGCGATCGGTCTCTGAGGCATAATCGGAATTGGCTCTCATTTCCACGTCGTTCACCCGGCTCATGATGCCAGGGACAACGGCAAGATGTGTGAAGAATTCATGATGAAGTTTAGGGGATTTAGGCAACAATGGGAATTCAATTAGCCCAGAAGGAATCTTTTGCCAATCTTCTGCTTCTAAAAAACAGGGCTTTTGAAGAATGAGCGCTTCAGAGATCTGCGAAGAGGGGAGAAAGGATTAGTAAATGCGGTATATTCTCAGCGCACCAGGCAAGATGAAAATGCTCACAATCGATCCACGGCACGCAAGAAACAGGGAGTAATCAAATGCAGAGTCGTAACAACGTGAGGCGCCCCGAGCCTGCATCAATCTTGCAGTTCCACCTGCGTGTTTAATCCAGCTATGACCCCTACCAAAGAACTTCTGTATAATCGCAACCGAAGCTGTTAGTGACTTAGAAGAAAAGGCGGTTTGTGAGTTCATCACAGATATTCACCGACCTCATAACTGCCCAAAAGCATAGTGGCTCCGAGTACATCACTGTCAAACTGTCGGCTTTCATCAGATATTACTGCAGCTAGAGCCTTCAAGGACATATTATATGAAATCTCAGCCCTCTGGAATGACAGCTGGTCTGCCGAGGCCCGCGCGAAGTAGGCTAGGGCAAGGGAGAGCGCTGCATAATCAAAGACCGGACTGCACCCGAGGCGAGGCGGTATGTGCCAAAGCCAGCTTCCGAAGAACGACTTCTGCGCCCCAGAAGCCCCAAGAGGGAACATGTCGGAAACGAAACAAGCCAGGAGCTGTTCTCGTTCCAATGCCGCTGGCGGCGGCTGAACCATTGTGGCCTTGTCCCGGTCCTCGGTAGCGAAGAAATTGACCCTGTCGCCCGCTCCTTGCTGTCTTTCGAGGCTACCGATGATGGGAGCATCCGCCGGGAGCTTCACAGACCGCGGTTTCTTGGTGAATCGACGCACCCTGGGCCCTTCGTCCACGAACTTCATCTCTCGAGCATACCCTGGACATTTGCGTCCGCCTCTTCTGCATTGCCAGCAGCTTGGAAGCCCCTCGTCACACTATAGACCAGGACAATATTAGCGTTGCTGGGCATATGTACGATCTACCAATCCCAGGTTCTGACCTTGACGCTTCGTTTGAGGCACAATGCGCAACCTTTGCTATTCGGCACGCCAACCATCTTTCAATCCCTACCAATTCTGTCACTTTGAAATGAAATTGATATCAGGTAGCTGCGTGCAAAGGAATTGGACCGGTCGGAGCCCCAGAAGCTCATGTCCGATGATGTAGAATACCTAATGAAAAGTGATCAAGGTTTTTTTGGGTGAAGAATGGGCGGTGTCCACTGAATAAAAATGGCTGCCTTTCCGGAGATAAGACAGGCCAGGGTGTAAGCGTCGGAACAGCATTGGTAAGCTTCACCTCGCGTTGAGGCTAAAATGATTGCTTGTATTCATTTCCGTCCTTTCTCAGCTTACCTGCCGCCTCTGTTACGTCTATCTTGGATGATCTGAGAAATCGAAGGGCGTGCATCTTGCTTTCCAACGACACCGATACTTGATCGTGAGTGATGGGACCAACAAATGAGCAGCAAAAAAAAAAAAGGAAATAAGCAGAATAATCAAAATAATCCATCAATGCATTCCTCGCTTCAATATCATGGCTTTTGCATGCTTCTTTCTCCCGTTATCCATGCCCTAAAACGCCGCGTGCGAAATGCCTCAAGCCAACATGAAGGCAGCCCCCCTCAAATTAGACCCAGCCCTCGGCTGTTCTTTTCCAAAAAAAAACAAAGAATGAGAAATAATTGAAAGTTCTCTCACTCGGTATCCACCAGCGCGATAACCTGTGTTGACCCAAGGTGGTTCCCCTCATCCACCGTCTCAACCTCCGCCATGCGGTTGAGCATTGCGAGATATGTCTGCCAGCCAATGTTGATAACGCCTGCGAACACGCTTCGATATTCCATTGGGATAAATGTAAAGCTGAATGCCGTAAATATAGGCCACACCTTGCAAGAGTTGACGAAGCTGGTGGGCAGAGCATACTTGACACGCTCAATAATCTCGTTCGGGGTGCACCCTGACAGGAGAGCTTGCGTGCCGAAAAAGAAAGTATTAAAAAGAGGGGTGTAGACAATTTGGCTAATGGTGATTTTTGTGGCGAGAGAGAGGATGTGGGAAGAGTAATTGAAGTGACGGGAGAGGAAGAGATACCTAGCGGAGACAATCAGTCTTGATCACATTGTTGGGCGTGTTGTAACTTACCATCGATAGCTGGGGATAGCAATAGCACCTCCGATTAACAAACTTCTGATTGTGCGAGCCGGGTCATATTCGTCACCGTCTAGACCCTGGGCTGAAAGATCGGATATGAGATAAATAACAACGCAGCTCCAGAGTTGGGTTGTGTGTGGCCGCCGCCTCTGTGAGCGGCCATAGGCAGACGCTGCGGCAGTCAAAGGGCCGAGCCGCTGCCATAGAGGAAGGTTGGGGATCGTATTTGGGACCGGAATCGGATCCTCGGTCTTCTTTGGCTTCACGTCGTTTTTAGAAGCGCAGTATCGTCGTTGAATATGGGATATGAGAGGCCGTTGGCAGGATCGGAGATGCTGGCAGTGGTAAAATTGCCGAGGCAGGGAACATTGCGGTATCGGAGAACGGCTAAACAGAGTACCCACGGCCTGTGACATGATTTGATCGTTAATTTTCGAGTTTTAGTGACTGGAAAAGGACAATTTCAGTTGTCTGTTCCCCGACAAGATAGAATCGTAGCACGAGGTTGGTTCGCAACGCAGGAAAGGAAATTATAACGACAAACCGACGAAAAGGAAAACACCTCAACGACAATATCTCGGGGACATTTATTAATCTCATTATTAGATCCAGATCGATAGCGGAGTAAAACCCCATCATTTCACGTTGTTGTGCTTGAAGAAACGGGGTGAATGTACAATTAACCCGAAAGTAAGCGGTAGAACTAGACCCATAGCGCGTGCTGTAGCGTGGGCATGATACCTGGAGATCCTCTTTTCGACAGATTGAGACAACACTCCAAGTGGGTTCTGCTTCTGGATCTCCAAAGGCCTTGCCCAAGCTGTAATGTGCACGCCAAAGACTGAGCAACACTCAGAGAATACTCAAACAACAATAATGTATCCAAATGTTAGCGAACTAAATATTAGCACATTGTTGTGATATTTCATTGCTTCTTGTGCTAATATCTTGGGTCGGAACAGCAAGATGCTCTTACCAAGTTGAGTTAGATAAAACTCACGGTTAACCGCGGAAAACTGCCCCATCAGGCACACACAAACTAAACCATTTCCACACGCCCATCATTCGGCAACGAAATCTTGCGCAGTCATGCTCAGCCGCTTGTCGTTATTCTTTCCTTTTTTCTAGATCATGCATTTTGCCGTGGTGATGCGCAAATATGGGGAGTAACGTGCGAGACCGGAGCCCGAACCCAAGCCAGGCCCCTGACGGCTCAAGATCCTACTCCGCCCAGCGGAGACAAAGATGCTCCTAGCTCGGGTTGCCATGCCCCAACAATACCTACTAACCCGTCGATATCCATATCAGAAGCATTCAATGAAATGCATGGATTGCCTGGTTAGGGTGGCAGAAGACACGAGAACGGGATAGACCACGAATGTCAACCCAAAAACAAATCACATATGGCGACTTGAGCCTTCACGACTGGCTCTCTCTTTGACCATGAAAATGGACAAGTAAATTCATGCCGGAGTGAAAAGGGTAGATTAGGATGTAGACGGTTGGATCACACCGGGCACAGTGTCCTGGCGCCAAGCACAACCCTTATTCACTCTCAGCTTTGATCACATTGATCTGACTCCGCCGGCAGCTCTACTGTCGGGTGACAATAAATAAACTTTAAATCCAAATATTGTAGTCCCTAGTTTAGAATTATTCTGTCGTGATATTAAGGGCGCACCGGGGATATTGATTGGATTAGATCCAACACCTCTTGTGCTCCATGGACTTGCCTGCTAAAACAGGGCATGCGTTCTCCATTATTGGAAGAATCTACTTTCTAGTGGTCTCCGCCCAATCAGTTCCTTCTAGCCTGTCAGTGAATGTCATCTCAACGATATTCAGAGATTTGCAATAATCCACGCGACAGCCCAGTAATTAATTACTAGGAGGGTCCAGCAGCTCAACTCAGTGTAGGGTAGCTCAGTATGGCTCAAGATCGCGAGTATTAAGCACAAACGTAACTTAGGTAACACCTTGTGTAGAATCTTTAGTAAAAGCTACTATCTTTAAAAGCGTACTATAAAAGCTAATACGTAAAAAATAGATATGTTATACATTAAAACTTTGCCTCTTTTCTTTTAGAATTATATTAGAGATTGATTAACTTTTACTTCCGGTTTTATACAAAGGTTTAAGATGAAAGAAACCCGAATAAATAAGGTGAGATTTATAAAAAGCTGAAGCTTCTTGCAGCTTAAATGTCTATGTAGGGTATTTCCTGTGACGCACAATGGATTCTACCACCGAGCATCGGTAGTTCTTTCAATAATAAAGTGACTACCTGCCTATCACCACCAAGCAGACTCAGCATTGTCTTCAGTGCAAATTCATCTGCTGGGCGATCGCCAAATCTAGGCATAATCATGCCAGCGTTGACCATCAAGTAGTTCAAGTAATTAAACGCCGGTGCACTTTCTTGAAACCCTTGTAAAATCTCGTCATCAAATCCCATATTCATGATATTTGGCTCTGGAATATCAACAAGCTGGAAAGATCGTCCTTGCGCATCTATCGTGCTTGAAAGAACCTGATGAATCTCTTCGTAGACCCTCTGCCGAACTATATCCGCTGCATGAGAGGATTTTCTTAATACAACGACTCCAGGCTTAACGAAGCGAGCTTGCGCATCAATATGGCAGTCCGTCGTCTCAGCACCTTTAACTCCTGGCACCCATATCACCTTCTGTACGCCAAGTGTGCGGCGCAGCTCCGCCTCTACATCTTGGCGAGTTTTGCCGGGATTTCGATTTTCATTGAGAATGGAACTCTCTGTAGCTAAAAGAGTGCCTTCACCGGGGTTTCGATGGCACCGCCTTCTAACAATACGTGTATTATAAATGCCAAATCAAATAGCCTGTCGAATAACTTTTCGTATCGGGGCGCAGCTGACTAAGACTTGATGTTAGGCCGTCTCAGCCTATCATTGGGCCGTAGATCGACCCCGCAGTGCCTAAACCAGAAAAATACACTTTGAGAAAATTGACGTCCAAGCCGAAAAAATTCTCTCGGCCCTGTGAATGAACCTTGAAGCCTTCTCAATATCCATCCCGTAGCCATTTATATAGTCCATTCCCTCCGTCATTTCTCACTCTCCTCTCCTATTCTGAATTGACTGTGATCGCCCTCCTTTCACAAAACCTGTCGCTATTTAACACACGCCATGGCCAACCCCAGTACCCCTCCCGTTATCGGCCTCCTTGGCGCTGGCCAGCTTGGTCGAATGCTCGTCGAGGCCGCCTCACCCCTGGATGTTCAAATCGCACTTCTCGATGCCGCCAACGCACCCGCAAAGCAGATCAACAGCAATCCCCTCAACATCACAGGCTCCTTCAAGGACCCCGCAAAGATTAGAGAGTTGGCCGCGAGCTCGTCCGTGCTGACTGTGGAGATCGAGCATATCGACACCAAGGTTTTGGAGGAAATTGACGCTGAGGGCGTCCAGATCACTGGCCCTGATGGAGCTGCCACCACAAAGAAAGTCGCCATCCATCCTTCATGGCGCACTTTGAGATTGGTCCAGGACAAGTTTGACCAGAAGGAGTACCTCTCTAGCCAAGGTATTCCCGTTGCGGATCAAATTTCCATAAAAACCGACTCCGCCGCCATCATGGAGTCCTCCCTCAAGGAGGCTTCCGATAAGTTCGGCTTCCCTTGGATGCTCAAATCCCGCAAAGACTCGTATGATGGACGCGGCAACCTGAAGATCTCCGGTCCTGCCGATTTCGAAGTCGCCGTCAAGGACTTTGGCTCGCTATCCTGCTATGCCGAGCGGTGGGTCCCCTTCGAGTGCGAGCTTGCTGTCATGGTTGTCCGCACGGAGGACGCCGAGGGTAACACCAAGCGAGTCATTCCTTTCCCCGTCGTCGAGACCATCCACGAGGACAACGTGTGCTCCAAGGTGTTCTACCCCCCTCGCAACGTGGCCCCAGAGGTTGCCCAGAGAGCAAGGGAAGTAGGCAGCAGTGTTGTAGCCAAGCTTTGGGGACGAGGTGTCTTCGCTGTCGAGATGTTCGTGAGTAGCAAAGGCGACGTGTTAGTAAACGAGATCGCCCCTCGACCTCACAACAGCGGTCATTTGTCGATTGAGGCCGTTCCATATATGTCTCAGTTCAAGGCGCAGCTTACTGCCATCCTGGATGAGCCCTTCCCAGAGGAACTCGAAGCCTCTGTGGACTCAAGCATCATGATCAATATTCTGGGAGGTCTGCGTCCCGATTCTCATCTCGAGCTCGTCCAGAAAGCCAAGTCCATGTTTTCGAGAAAGATCTCCGTCTACCCCCACCTTTACGGAAAGGAGTCCAAGCCAGGTAGGAAAATCGGCCACATCACACTGACCGGATCTTGCTCCATCGCGGAACTCGAGTCCTACGCCCAACCTCTTATCGCAATTGCCGATAGCATGAGGAAAGAGCGCAACGAAGCCTCCGCAGAGGGTCTCCGGCCCCAACAAGCCCAAGCCGCACCTCAGCAGGTTGCCAGCCGTCCCAAGGGCAAGCCGCTTGTCCTCGTCACCATGGGATCAGACTCGGACCTCAAGGTTCTCAAGGCCGGCATCGACATTCTCAAGAAATTCGACTGTCCCTACGAGTTGGATATCACAAGCGCCCACAGAACACCTGACAAGATGTCACAGGTCGCAAAGGATGCCGCTTCTCGCGGCATCAAAGTTATCATCACCGCAGCTGGTGGTGCTGCCGCCCTGCCTGGCATGGTTTCGAGCCATACATCCCTGCCCGTGATCGGTGTTCCCGTTCAGGCCACCCATATGCAAGGTTGGGACAGCCTGCTCTCAATCGTTTCGATGCCCGTACGTGATTCCGCGTTTCCAATGCTACCAGGACTAAGAGCTAACAAACACTATAGAGAGGTATCCCCACGGCCACAGTGGCAATCAACAATTCCACAAATGCTGCCCTTCTCGCCATCCGTATACTGGGTTCATTTATGCCTGAATATTACGATAAGATGGTTGAATACCAGCTGGGTATGGAGAAGGAGGTTCTGAAGAAAGCTGAAAAGTTGAAGGAGTTGGATGCGGATGCTTACCTTGCGCAAATGTAATTAATTAGATGTTATTTCATAGTAAAATCACGGGGCATTCAATAAGAGACCGCCAGATCACTTTTCAAGAGGATTCATATCCATAATGTATCGCAGGGGCTAGCGTCAGTGTAATCCTGGCTGACTCACTGCGATTACTGGCGGGCTGGTGCCTGCAGCAAATATCTGCTGACCCCTCACGTTGATTCACGATTATTCACGTTTCTTCACGTTTCATGTCTCTGGACTTCTTTTATTAGATAATACATGTTAACATGCCCTCCGTATTTCTTATTTAATTGCTCGGGTTCTCCGAACACCAACGCTCTGATTCCAAAAAGTTTACAATTCACCGCCTCAGCCATGGCAGCCTCATTGACCCCTGTTGCGCCAATTGAGCTGATCCCAAATGAGATTCTCGACGCTATCCTGGATCATCTGCTGGCGTCAGACTTGGTGAACCTCTGGAAATGCAGCACCCAGCTCTCCTACCGAACTCTGGATGCCCTTTTTAGGTCTCCCGAGGCCTGCCAACGCTCAATGCTAATGGCCTGCAAGAATGGAGATGTACGTCTTATCCGCGCAGCCTTGTCCCACGGAGCTGATGTCGATATCATCACCGTGGACCATTCCGATACCAAGCTGTTCGAGGACCCAGACCACAGCAACATGATAATGGGTCCCGATGTTCAGGAGTTCTCTACTTTAGTATTGACCGCCAAAAGAAAGCACGAGAAGGCCTTCAGTACGCTACTGGACCTCGGAGCAAATCCCAATTCCCTTGACCGATCGCAGCGAAAGAATCTAGCCAAGGCTGTCCGAAGACAGTCTTGTGAGCCCTTGCTGCGAAGATTGATGGATGCGGAATCAGGATCAAACCCGCTGTTGACAAGCGCAGAGGGTCCAATAAACCTCGTCGCGCTGATCCGTCGAGGGGCGTCCCTCAGCCTCTTGGAAGCCCTCATCGACAAGGGCGGAGACCCAAACGGTGTAACCCGTGGAGCAGAGAAGACCACACTCCGCTCGCCATTGTCTCAAGCTATTGAGATGGGGTCTGTACCCGTATTTGAGCTTCTCGTCGGAAAAGGGGCAGATGTCAATGGACGGCTCGAGTGCTTTGGCAAGTTTCATCATAAGCCCGACGACCCATTCGTATATCGCCGCCCAGAGCATATACCGATATTCGCTGCTGCTTCGCGCATGGCCAGGACTGGACGTTGTGACATGATGGACCTCTGTTTGGGACATGGTGCTGATATCAACATGTTGGCCCCTGCCTTCCTGGGCAACAGGTTCACGAGCATCGACTTGGAGTATGCCAGGTTCTTTGTGATGACGCCACTGCTCTGCTACCTTGAAGAAATACAGCGCTGGCCGGTCAACACGGGTCTGGATCCCATGAACGGCATCGCCTACTTCATCGAGAGGGGCGCAGATGCACAGCTGGCCGAAAAGACTGACGCCAAGGGGGCGTGGATGGGGAGGTCCCAGACTAATCGAGCTGCGCATGTATCTGGATTGGAGATCTTGCTATCCAAGTGGGACGTGAAGGGATTAGAGGAAGATCAGTTGTTCAACACAGTCGGCCGTCTGGTCGAACTAGGCAGTGGTGCCTCTAGGTGGTTGGAAATCCTGACTGAGTTTGGGGACGCTTTCCAGCAGAACAAGCAACGGCCTGGTGATTCCCGTCTGTTCGATGATCCAGAAGAAGCACCCGCGTGGTGGAGAATTGCCAGTCTCATCGTAGACAAGTCGCAACAGGTAAGTCCGCGGTGTTGGGTCACCTCTGCGCCCACCTATAGGATATTTTACTAAAGGAAATATGGGAGTCTCAGGTGCATCCTAATAACTTCAAGTGGCTGCTAAGCACATATCCACTGCAAAACGATACGCGCGCAATGATAGAGACAGGCTCGACGGAGCAGTACATCAAAGACGGGATCCTCAGTAACGTCATCTTTTCTATGGCTGAGCGCCTTGAGTATTTCGGAACTTACCAACGCCTCATCCTTGATCGTATCCAGGCTGCGGGCGCAGATATTAACGGGTTTCTTGGCGAAGAACACATCCTGGCGATACGGAGGGTCGACAATGTTCCGGGATTGCCTTGGGCTGAAGGTTATGCAACGAACAGGGTTCTGCATAGAGTCCTCAGCAGCGTGCGGAGAAGGGTTGAGCAGTTAAAGCATTACCCGGAGTGGTATGAGTCCAACATGAAGGATTCTGTACGAGTGTTTTGTTTGGAGCTTATCGAAAGGGGTGCGAATCCTCATCTCAAGGTATATGAAAGAACGGCTATTGATATCTTGACACACGACATATCTCCTTCACACGCGGTCAGCGAGTCTTGTAAGGAGTTGGCTCGAACGATCGAGGATGCCCATACGAGATACCTGAAGAGTCAGAATTTGGTTGGGCTGTAATCCATCACATGTGTGTTATCAGCGAGAAGGTGGTTAGCGGCAGGTTATCAAGCAGAGTTTTCTTGCTTGGGAGATATCTGAATAGATCTGCTATTGAATGGAGGAAAATTTTCTCCTTTAGATTAGTTGTGTGATTGTGTTTGAAATTAAAATTTCCGCAGGTTAGACCAGCTTGCTCGTCTATTGATCCATCCTGCATCTTGCTCTAAGCATTATTTCCAGTCGCCACACCCCAAAAGTAGGCAACCCACCCTCCGAGTGTCAGGAGGCAGAGAAGAGAGAAACAGAAAACCGAAATCTTCTTGTTGGTCTGTCCTTTCTCGCCCCAGAATCTAGCTTTCCTCTCGTTGATCAGGTCTCCGCGAATGATACGCTTCTTGCGGCCCCATTGCAAGTGTCGAAGGTCAACAGACCGCCAACAGAGCAGAATGAGCACCAAAGAAACTGCCACAGAGCAGCCGGCCAGCACCGTGTATACGATCGTGACTCTATCGTAGGAGTTGTTGTCTGCGTCTTGGATTCTACCGGTGATGACACGGACAATGATATTCATACTATTTTCGCATCATGCGTTAGCTTTCATCACATTCCATTAGGCAAGTACAAGAGTCAGGCTCACGAATTGTTCATCATAATCTTCAGCGCGTAGGCAGTGCCGAAGTAGTTGCTGTCCCACATGCTGGTGCGGATACTGTCGATGATGGATGTAGGGCCGAAGGACAAGGCGAAGGCGAAGACACCGAAAGAGGCGGCTGCAGCTTCTTTACCAGCCGAGAAAGTGACAAGAAGCATAGCGATGAACACGCCAGTACCGCAGAATACCACTAGCGGGATGTTAATATGCTGGCTGCAGGGTTTTCTTGTACAAGGTGGCAGAGCAACTTACTGGTGCTGACACGGTGACCGCAGATATCGATGAAAATTCCCAACATAGGAACGATGAAGAATCCTAGAGCTCGTTAGCGCCATCTCTATAATGTTTGACCACTTCCTAGGAAAACGTACCAGCGTACTGCGAGAGAGAACTATACCAGCCAGCAGCGATAGAGTCCGTCTTGAACCTTTGCTCAGCGAGCTCCGTGGCATTTTGGGAGAAAACTATGGCGGCACTAGTCTCAAACAGAGAGAACAGAAGAACACACCAGAAAGGCCAGGGCATTTGCAGGACCTTCTTGATCTCAAGTTTCTTGCTCTTCTCTGCCAGCTTCTCGCCCGTAGCAGGGTCGTTGACGCCGGCATACTTACGATCGGCAGCCTTGGTAAACCAGTAGAAGACTCCGGTCATGACGTTGGTGAAAAGGTTCATGAAGACGGCGACCCAAAAGACCCAGGCGAAGTTTCCCGTCTTCTTGGCAATGATGTTGGATGATGACTTTCCAGCAAACGCGCCGATCTTGCCAATGCCGAGCTCAAGACCAAGAGTAGACGCAAAGCCATTTCCGGGGGCGAACCAAGAGGAGAAGACCTTGTACTGGGCAATCTGGGTGGAGATGTCACCGAGGGCAGAGATAATTCTTCCCACAATCATGAACTTGTACGAGCGGGATTGCGCGGCGCCTGCCACGAGGATAGAACCGACGGAATAAATCGCGTTTCCGTACAAAATGGCCCCTAGACGCACATTGTTAGTTTGTCGATCAGAGTGAACCGCTGAATTAATCAATTGAATATTTACATACTGGCACCTCCGATGCGGTCGGTGACAAGGCCGCTGACAAGGATCAGGCAGGTTGTCATAAAATCCTCGCTGGCTTCTAGCAGCGCGAATTGGGTGTTGTTGATCTTGAGCTCCTTCTTCATGGTGGTCTTCATCGCTGCCGTGATGCCGGAGCTCCATTTAGATCCGAAACAGATCAATGTCACGAGGAGGACAGAGGCAAGCTTCCAAGAGAGCGGGACGGGAGCAGGACCGTCTGATGGAGGGCCGCTCGAGACTTCAGAAGAAGGTTCCTTTTCTGTCACAACTTGGACGCCAGTCTTCTCGCTCATGTCCACCTGCTGCTCGGCGTCATGTCTTGCGGCGTCATCCTTCTGGATGTGGGCCATTTCAAGCCGAGGTGTGATGGTGAGGCTTGGGAATCAAGTAGACAAGAAGGGCTGGAAAGCCTTGTAGGGGAGGTAATGCGCGAATGATGGTTTCGGGTGATGAGGCAGAAGAATCAAGATCAAAGTGAAGGGGAACAAGGAGCCTTTATCAATCCTTGAGGACGCTCAACGAGAGTGAGACGTCAGACCATTATCAATCGGGATCCGTTAGGACAGGGGATGATTTCACACGGTGAGAGAGTGGGCGTCGAAAAATTTCGAGCGTGGAGCTGACTCTGGTCATGACACGGGTGGAGCGCCTGATCTGATTGATAAGATGTCACCAAGGCCCATCGGAGCTGTACATGAACCGGTCTCACATACGCGAGACAGGGCAGCAGCAAATCATAGTCGTGAAGTGACTGGGTGGACTCGAAACCTTGAAGCCATCAGGGGCACAGGGCCAATCATGGCGGAGAAACCTGCTCGTTTTTACCCACCGACCGGAAAGACGCTAAAAGGAATGAGAAGTTTTTCTACGGCAAAATAGCTGCTGCTCAAATCTCTCACGGTGAGGAATCTAGATGCCACTCAACCCCTGCAATCGTCTTATCTCACTATTGGCCCGGCCAGCAAGACTCCTCCGTATTCCCTCTCAATAGTTTGTGAATTTGCATGCATCGCCTTGCAAACTGTTATATAATTATCAGATGATCGGTGCCGAGGCCTTGTACCGCTGTTCTTGCGGCTTTTTGATGAGCTGGTTTCTCACACCAAGGGTACGACAGCACAGACGCAAAGGCCGACAACGGCCCTCTAGCCTGGATTATTTGCCCTTGGCTGCTCGTTAGTTTTCATCCTCGGCATGGCCACGTCCAGCGTCCTCTCACGGTGAGAAATCGCCCCTCTAAAACATCCTTGCGTAAGTGACCCCAATTATGACCATGGGAACACTGCCGGATCACATCGCTTAGATCCCTTGGATATCTTAATAAAATAGTCTAGATGACAGTGCCTCGTAATTCATGATCAGGTTAGCTACTCTATTTCGTCCGTCGTCTGGAAGAGGTTGTTAACCACGTGAGCGTAGTTCTTGCCTGGAAATCGCAGCACCCTTCTCTTTCACGCATATTTTATAAATGGCTCGTTCAGATTACACCCATGTCATATCCGGTTTCCTCCCAGGCAACATTATGCGGAATGGCCATCCCGTCATCTCGTGGACTGAGTTTACCATTTTCCGCAGCCATTGTGAAGCAACGACAGGCAGCCAGAATTCACACCGTTGCGCCTTGACTATGCCCGCGGCGATGTCCCACGACTGCCTGCCGCTTGCCTCATCCCCAACCGAAAGATGCGCATGCGCCAGTGATAAGTGAAGCACAGCCGCGGTGAACTGGTATCTTTGATTGAACTGCTCAAGGCGTGCGTTTTCCTCCAGCGCAAAGCTCCAGCGACGGACCGCCTCGTCGAAATTCCGCCGCTCGTGGGCGACCCGCGCTCTGGCAATCACCCCTCTCATATGCATGAGTTGGTCCGTGAGGTCGTCTGGTCCAGGGGCTTCAGCCTCAGCCAGCTCCAGGAGGGTTGACTCAGCTTCGTCGAGCCTGCCCTGTCCAATGCTGGCCTCGACAGATGCAAGAAGGAGGCGGCGCACCGGGCGAGACCGCTTCTCCTTGTCGGCGATGTTGGCAATCTCGGGTTGGATCAATTTGAATGCTCTATGGTAGTCGCCAATCTCGCAGTGTGTATCGGTAAGCCTTGACACAATTGGTCGGCGCATCCTTACCGTGATGGGCTCTGACGGGTTGAGCGATAGATATTGTTCCAGAGAGTCGCGCGACTTTTCAAAATCACCGATAGATTGGAAGAACTTTGCCGCCAAACCCTGGAGTCGTCTGGTTACGTCGATTTCTAATGCTGATAGGGGGTGTGTGCCCTGCCATTCATAGATGCTGGACGCCACATCATCATCGAATCGTTGAATCATGTTCTCAATATGCGATATATGAAGTCGACCTCGTAAAGCGTCGTCGCGCCGGCTGGCTGGTGGCCGACTTTTGCATAGGAAGTCGCGAATCACAAAGTCAGACTGGACGAGATCTACATCCATTCGGCATAGGAGGCTTTGGAAAAGGGCAACTGAAGCATGCAGGTAATACGGCACGGATTTGACGAGAAGCACCCGCGCCCTCTCAACGGCCCGGCGGCGGATGGCGAGGGAATCTCTTTCGCAGAAATACAAAATAGCGTCCAAAACTTGACATCGAAGGGATGCGGCGGTTTTCGGTCGTTCTAGTGCTTTGTCAAGCAATGTCCATACCATTTGCTTCACTTGAGACGACCTGCAAATTCCGGGTCAACATTTAAAATTCCTTCTAGAAACGGAGCAGCAAGGAGGGTGTGTAACATACCATGAAGTATTTCCTTCGTAACATGGCGGGCAGGCGTAACAAATAAGTTTCAGTCCAAGCAACGCCAAGGATTCAACCGTTTCGGGAAGCAAAACACTTGTGAACAGCGATGATTGTTCGGGGCTAATGGACCAGGTAACCGTGCCATCATTTAATGTTTCTCTTTTGAGGTTCGGGTCCGTAGCAGCATGATCCAGACGATCGTCGTCTGAAAGAAGCTGTAGTATCTCGGAAGATATGCCGGACTCTGTGCTGTGGTTGCTTTCGATCTCACCGTCAGGGTTCCACCGCCGCTGGGGTAATCGCACGCTCTTGAGGATCGCGTCGGGGATGTCAGAGCCACCCAATGCGTGAATAATCAATGAAAGCTTGGAAAAGTCTGGAAGAATATCCGGATACTCAGAAAACAGGTTGTGATATGCATAAGGCGCAACCGAGTCTGTGCCCTATCAGCAGCCTTCCATGAGAAGGAGGACAAGTGTGGGTTAGGACTTACCAGTAAGAGACTGCGACACAAGGAGCTGCACAATTTCAGTATAGTCTTCATGTCTGGATATTAGT